CTTTCTCATATTTGCTCCATTAGGCTGTTGCCTCTGCCTTGTTTCTCTCGGTGGATAATGAGGTTGGATGGGCTCCTAGATGCCAGGCAGCAGGTGAGGGAAGACCCTAGAGCTGGGGGAAGTTGTCTTTTTTCTCCTTCCTTCCTCCCTCCCTCCCTCCCTCCCTCCCTTCCTTTTTTCTTTTCTTTGAGTGTACCATCAAATCAGATCTGACTGGTACAGGAGGAGATTGTCCCTCCTTCTCCAGCAGAGCATCTGGTGGATTCGAACCGTGTATCTCTGGGATTGCAGTGCAGCTTCTTGCCACTAGGCCATCATAGCTCTCCCTGGGAGGTTATCTTTTATGAGAGTAAATATGGAACTGAGACTTGGGTGTCCCTTACAGGACAGCTTCTCACTTCCCTTCCCAGAGAACCATCAGTGATGGCCAATTTAATGCATCAGCTTGACTGAGTTAGGGCATTTGGTTGTTGGGCTATAGAAAAGGTCCAAGATAGGGAGTCAGAAAGATGGGATAAATAATGTATACTGGTTTGAAACAGATGAGGAGAGAATTGTATAAAAGGCATACAGGAGTCCAGTACAAAGGCTGCACAGTGCAGTGGACTTGGTGGGAGGGACTGTAAAACAGCAAAAGAACTTTTCTTTTACTTTTTGAAGAGAAGAGTGAACTGGAGGGGGGAAGGGTGGGCAGGGAGAAAAGTGCAAGAATGAATGAATGAATGAAAATCCAAAGTCTCTAAATTTTCATTAAAATTAATAAAAAAAATTATTAAATTCATGTAGCAGTGTCATGGAAGAAATGCCTGGCCACCTGCTTCTTTAACGACCCTAGCAAGAGAACCTCACACAGCCCAGTTCTGCTCTGTAACCCCTGGGTTCCCATGAGTCAGAACGGACTCCATTCAGTTTGCTTTTTCTTTTCTTGTGTTACATGGAGTGAAACATCACCCACCAAAGAAGCCTTTTTGCACACCCGTGTTTATCGCAGCTTTGTTCACAATAGCAAAGAGCTGGAAACAACCCAAGTGCCCATCAAACGAATGGACAGAGAAGCTCTGGTATACTCACACAATGGAATACTATGCAGCATTGAAAACCAAGGAACTCATGAAGTATTATACAAAATAGATGACCCTGCAGGACATTATGCTGAGTGAAATATCTCAGCCCCCAAAGGACAAATATTGCATAGAGCCACTGTTGTAAAACGGGACTGACATCAGGGTTGAGGGAAGACAGAAAAGGAGGGGAGGAATGATATATTTTGCATTGAAACATGAGGGAGAGAACTGTTTAAAAGGGACGTATGAATGGGTATTCTTGTCATTATAGAAGCCCAGAGTGAAGGCTTCATAGTGGAGTGGACTTGGGGGGAGGGATTGTATAACAATGAAAGAGTTCTTCTTTTTCTTTTCAAGGAGAAGAATGAATTGGAGGAGGGAGTGAGCAGGGAGAAAAGTGCAACAATGAATGAATGAATAAATGAAAACCCTAAGTCTCTGTAAACTTTCATTTAAATTAATAATAATTTTTAGAAAGGATCCTTTCCTTGACAGCAAAGAACTTAGCCGTTTTGTTCACAGTGTTTCCACCTCCCAGGCAGATTTCTGACACACAGGCAGTGCTCTCTACATGTCTCTGGGTGGTCTGGCAAGCCCACCGCCATTGATTCCTGCCCTCAGGGACCTTGAGAGACAAAGCAGAACCGCCCCATGGCTGTTTCACGGCCCTAAATCTTCCCGCACGCTGATTCCACCTCTTTCTCCATTGGAGATGCAGTAATCTCGAGGTCCTTAAGTCTTTACAGATAATTGCTTCTCACCCAGACACATCATGAATTTCATCTATTCCTAAGAGGTGTTCGTTTTCTTGTTTTTTTCTACAAAAGTTGGTTCTTAAACTTCCACAGGCCCCGGTGCAACCCTTCATTCCAACTCCAGGTGGCAGTAGAGCCTCAGGTGGTCAGAGAGGTCACTGTCATCCTAGTCGCAAAGAATGGCTTGGTTCTTGCTGAAGGAATGTGTGCAACCAGTGATATGCTTGCATAATTCCTGAATGTGGACAGAAGTAAGCCTCAATATGTTTTAATATAAAGATTTTTTTAAACAGTCCCTGCCTTAAGGGAATAGGGATGTGTCCTGTCTCCATACCTTTTCAACCTGTATGCAGAACAGATTATCCAAGAGGCTGGGCTCTATGAGAATTGTGGGGTCAAGATTGGTGGAAGATCTATCAACAATCTGCGTTATGCAGATGACACAACCCTGCTTGCTGAAACTGAGGAGGAACTGAAGTGCTTGCTGTAGAGGGTCAAGGACTGCAGCCTACAATATGGATTGAGGCTCAATGTCAAGAAGACAAAGATTATCACCACTGGACCAATTGGCAGCATCAGGATGGATGGTGAAGAGATTGAGATTGTTAACAAATTTAGTCTGCTTGGCTTCACAGTCAACACTCTTGGCAACAACAGCCAGGAAATTAAAAGACATATTGCCATGGGAAAGTCTGTTGTTAGGGACCTCTCCAAAGTACTGAAGAGCAATGGTGTCTCTTTGGAGACTAAGGTGCATCTGATACAGGCCATGGTCTTTGCTATCACTTGTTATGTATCAGAGAGTTGGACAATGTCTAGGGAGGACAGAAGGAGAATTGATGCCTTTGAGTTGTGGTGCTGGAGAAGAGCGTTGAGGATACCATGGACTGCTAGGAAAACAAACAGATTTGTCCTGGAGAGGGTTAAACCAGGCTGCTCCTTGGAGGCAAGGATTCTGAGGCTTTGTTTAACATACTTGGGACATGTTGTAAAAAGAGACCATCCTTGGAGAGGGACATTATGCTTGGTAGGGTGGAGGGACGGCGCAGGAAGGGAAGACCCTCTATGAGGTGGACTGATTCAGTGACTGGGGTAATTGGGATGGGTGTATCGGAGACAGTGCGATTGGCGCAGGACAAAGCAGAGTTTACGGCTGTTGTACATAGGGCCACTATGAGTCGCAAGCAACTCGACAGCACATAACAACAACAACATGTTGTGTCTAGAAAATTATTTTTACTGAACAGCTTATCTTCAACTTAAAAGCTTATGGAAATAAAAAAAAAGTTTATGGAAATACCAGTATGTCAAATAAAAAGTGGCAGAATTTTTTTGCTAGTTAAAAAAAAAAAAAGAATGGCTTCGATTTTTTTTGGCCCTATTTCTGCATTCTGCCTGTGGCCAGGGCACCTGGCCTCGTGGCCTCTGCTATCAGCTCCTTGAAGTTTTCTGCCCTCCTTTTTTGTTTCTGCATCTCTTCTTTCTCCACTTCCTCAATTTGTGTCTTGGATCATTGCAGGGAATGCTGCTTGCCACCTTCTTGGTCAGAAGTGGTATTGACCAGCCCCTGTCCACAGACCAGCCAGAGAATGGACCTCCCTAGATGTGTTTTGGATTTCAGGAGGCACCCACATAATAGACCCTCAGAAACACCCCAGCCCATTCTTCTCACCCTGACACCCAAGTCATAGCTCATAATACAAACCTCCACTGTTGATTCTGACTCTGCAGTCTTTCAGGACAGCGGAGAACTGCCCCGCAACCTGTGATCTTTGTGGGACCACAGTATCTCTTATTTTTCCCTTGTGTTCAAACTACAGACCTTTCAGTTAGAAGCCTGATGCTTTAATCTGAGTGCCACCAGGACTCCTGTGTTCATAGAGTTGTTGTGTTTATGAGACTTCGAGTGACCAGCTCATAGTGGGTTTTCAGAATCTGTAAATCACCTGGGAGGAGATTATTAATTTTTCTTCCTCAGAGCAGCTGGTGGATTTGAACCATTTGTCTTGGGTTTGCAGCACATCTCCTTACCCACTAGGCCACCAGAGCTCCCTTTTTCATTCTTAACAATTGTTTTTTAAAAAATTGCTTTATTGGTGCCTGTGTTGGTAACAAGTGTATCCCTTGAGGGGGTGTCTCTGCGGTCTGATGTGAAACAGAGTGCCACCAGGAGTGACTGAGAGAATGACAAATATTCTCACATTTCCTGAGCCCTGCAGGCCGTGGTGTTCTCTGCTGTAATCTTCTGGGGCCTCAGGAAGCCAGAGCTGAGAGGTAGGGCTTGTGGCTTTGGATGAATACCCACTCCTGGCCAATAGGAAGCTTTTGCAAAATGGTTTGTGCTCTGATACTCATTGAAGGGTTGAGGGTTCAAATCTGACCCTTGACAGCATACAAAAAATCCTCATGATCTTTTCCTGCAAATTTACAGCCAGTGCCAAGTCTACCGAGTCCGGTGCTTCTCTGAGACACACGGGGGTCGCCAGGAGTCAGAGTCGACTCAAAAGCAACTGGCTTGCCTTTCTGGTTTCTAAGTGGGGGTCATTACATAAAGAGAGCCTTCGGGATGGACACTGTCCCAAGGACACGTGGTGGCCAGGTGCCTTTTGACAATGAACAGCCCACACAGGAATTCGGGGCCGCCCTGTGCCTACCCTACAGCCATCCCTCACTTCTTTCCAGTTTTTTTCTCTGCCATGTCCTTCAGATTTGCTGAGAAGTCCCTCCGTGCAAGGGCTGAATGGCTATTGGCCCAAGTCTGAGAGCAATCCCAGAAGTCTCCTTGTCTTGATGAACGCTTGGCCAGAGGGTGATGTGAAAACTCTAGCCAGTCAGATGTGAGGGGAATTGCATGTGGGCTCCATATAAGCCTCTTCCCCACCTCCCCCACCCCTACTATGGAGGAAATCATGTGGCCACCATCTGGGGGGACTTTCAGGGAGGCAGGCTCAGAGGAGATGATGATTAGAAGGGAAAAAGATAAATAGAATTGCGGGCCACGAATAATATGGTTGAGATGCTGAATTGGCTATACCGCTGGACACAAGCTCTCTCTGGTCTTGTCATATGACACTCATAGATACGTTGTTGAAGCACAAATGTCCTGGCACGTCTAACACCGTGTCCGGAAGGCCTTGGAACTGGCCTTGGCAGAGCCACAGCTGGGGAGAGCCAGAGTCTGTCATTGTTTGAGGAGCGGGGACAGGTCAGCATTGATCCCCACCCACTCTGGCAGGAAAGCGGCCTCTGGCTTGAAGATTTTGAGGAAGGGAGAGTCTGGGAGGGTGTAGTTGGCCAGGTAGATGGTTTGTCCCCCTGTGAGGTAGGCGGCCCAGATCCCGAAGGTCCCTATGGTCATGATGGTGTGGTTACACTGTATGAGCAGAGCAAAGTCCTTGGCAGGCGAGCCCTCAACCCCGTCGCCAGCGAAGACCACGTCCCCCCGGGAGTTGTCAATATTCTCCCGACACCATGCCATGCCGTTGCTGGTGACCACAAAAATTGGGGACTCGTGGCGCTCCCGAAACCAGTCCAGGGCCTGTTTGAGGTAATGCCGGTCCGCCACCACACCCTTCCAAACATTCGGCATGACATGGACATAGTCCCCCCGGCGGACGTGGACACCCACATAGGTGGAAGGCCGGTGACCATTGACCTGTAGGCCATGGAGAAAAGTCTGAGCCTCCTGCCTCACGTGGTCATGCAGGGTGAATTCTCGAAGAATCTCATGGCGCAGGTGGTGGTAGAAGGTCCAGGAGCAGGGGTAGCCTGTGAGGCGGACGTAGGGCTCCGGGATATGGCGGTACTGTTCCTCCATCCAGTCGTTCAGGTGGTAGTTAGTCCACGGGATCCTGTCGGCCACGACGTTATGCAGGACAGGTAGGGTGATCTTGAAGATGGGTGCAAGCGTGTTATGCATCTGGGGGGAGATGTATGCAGCCTGTTTGTTCATCTTGGCCAGGGCGTACAGCGTGGCGTACTCACCCATCTGGTTCCCCAGACGGCCTTGGACGTTGACTGTCCATATACCCTTGAACTGGGGGCCAGTGGAGCCCTGAATGTCCAGGGAAATCTGAGGCAGACTCTCCAACTCCCATGAGGACTGAACCTTCATCAGCCGCTGCTGCAAGTGAAATATGGTGGAAGCCACAAAGACAAAAAGGACGAACTGGGCCGCTGGAAAGGAGAGAGGTATTTGTGCGCTGACCATGGCTGTTGGGGAAGAGAAAAAAAAAATTAGCTTGAGTGGAACTGTCTCTGTGAGTTGTAGTTGACACCACAGCATCTAAAACCAACGGATATGGTGAGTTCAAGTGTGAAGATTCCGTGTCTAGACTTGTCTGTACTTGCAATGTCCTGCCTCTGTCTTCTTTGGAGGGAGATGGCCTCACTCACCAAGGAATCAACCCCTTCACCCTGCCTACCATTCTGGTCACAGCCTATGCAACAAGAAGATGACCAGCCGGTTCCACAGTGACTTATGAGTTCATTATACTGTGGCCTGTCACAAGCATAGAGTGGCCTTCACACGTGAGTTGGACCAGCCAAATTCTATCTTGATGGTGAATTATTTCTTTGATGTATCGTTGGATTCTATTTGCCAGTATTTTATTCAGGATTTTTGCATCAATGTTCATGAGAGATATTGGCCTATAGTTTTCTATTTTGGTGGTGTCTTTTCCTGGCTTTGATATCAAATATATGTTTGCTTCATAGAATGAATCTGGGAGGATTCCATCTTCTTCTATTTTCTGAAATAATTTATGTAGAATTGGTAACAGTTCTCTGAACGTTTGATAAAATTCACTTGTAAAACCATCTGGTCCAGGGCTTTTCTTGGCGAATTCTATCTTGAGTACACTCACTGCAAGACTCAAAGTTGGATGGGAAGTGATGTTGAAGAAGTGGCTGACGTGGGCCTTAGGCAAGGCGAACTGGCAGATACCTGGGCATATGTCAAAAGACGTGGGGTTTGTCTTTCTTTCACTATGACTTTGCTGCCCATAGTTTGATTTTTGCCGTGTAGAAGGGCGAGAATATGCGAATGGAGTTTGTTAGCCAATCCGCAAGGGGAATGTTGTCTGGTCTTGCCGTTAAATTAAGCAACCCAGCAACAACAGAAGAAAAATCTCACCTCCAGGAAAAGAGCAAGCAAGAAGACCCACGGGGGCGGGCGGAGGGTGTTGGCGCTCTGGTGGCCTAGTGGCAAGAAGCTGTTCTGCAATCCCAAAGGTGCTCAGTTTGAATCCACCAGATGCTGCGCTGGAGAGGGAGGGGCAATCTCCTCCTGTATCAGTTGGATCTGATTCAAAGGTACACACATACACACACACACAAATAATAATAAAATTTAAAAAA